TCGACGCACAAGATTGATCCAATGGGCTCTAGCCTGAAACCTCGTCATTGACCTCATTTCCCACTGCGAAGTTCGACTTTGTTTGCTTTTAGCTTTGCGCAACCCTACATCCGGAAAGCAAAACAAGGCTCTTCTCGGTAGGCGGTCACCAGATATGCGTTGCACGTGCCTAAGTCAACTCGACTAATCCAATGTTACATGTTGTTCTAAAGAACTAGACTGGCTTACGCACATCACCGTTGCAGATACGCTAGTCTCATCTGACGCCCGCAATGCTCCACGAACAGCGATGATCAAAGATCGAAGGGCCCACATTCTACTTCCACAGTAGGACGACGCTTACCGTTGTTTTTATCGCGGCTTTCAGACTAACGAAAATCTTTTTATAGTACCGCAGGCATCACAACTTCGAGGAGACGGTTCTAGCTTTTATGATACACTTCTAATACAAGCATCAAGGTAGATAAGCTGACCAGTTACTTCCAGTTCAACATCATCAAAATTCAAGTGGCCTTACAATAGTACTTTGCATTTTAAACATAATCATGACGACGATTTTCAGAAACCATCCAATGGCTGAATGCTCTTCTTGCATGTTTACACTAGACCCACTTTTTGTGCACTGATTACGTGTGCAGCCATGAGCAGAGTGTTTGTGATGATGTGCGTCTCTCGGGTCAGTAGACAACACTTCCGCGCACTATCGAACCGCTTGACCTCAGCTATCCGATAGCAGATGATGCTTGAGTATATATATGATGTATATTTTGACGGCATGAGACACAGACCAACTACATTGTCAGATCATTATGTACGACATAATCAGATGGCAAAGGAAGATTTTGAGTTTTACAAAGTAGTTCCCTGAGACGTTTTCTGGTATTCAATTAATTAAAGGTGCTAAGAATACAGAGTCGAGCGCAGGAATTCATGTGGGTATAGCCAACAGTTCAGGTGAAGTAATGCGGTCATTCGTGGAACCGTATCCTGGGGATCCGGTTCCATGCGATTTAGTCTCTCTCTCTCGAGAGCACTTTCATGCTTCATCTGACTTAAAAACCAGGTAAGCTGCCATCATATTGACTCGTTTTTTGACCGAGGTTGTAAGCAATAGGCCGTCGATATGTAGATTCGTTTTTTGAGTCTAGCACTTTTTCTCGCCAGTAGGTCTGTGGCAGCCCGTCTTGCCTGTGTCTTAATAATTAGCTTGGAAACTTTACTACGTCCCCTCAGGAGATCGGCCCAGTCATGACCAAGCATGGAAGGAAAAGAAAAACAATAAAATGGTACGGAATGAAAACTACAATGAGTAAATCTTATATGCTTATCTATACCATTTCCGAGTCATTTTGGGCCATAGCGGAATCAATTTAGACAGTAAGGATTTCTAGTTGAGTCGTTAACATTTTCAAGATAAATCGTTCCACACGTCGGCCGACTTGTCGGCCCATAGCCTAGAGGTAACGAGCTTGTCTCGTAACCTTGCGGCGCGGGTTCGAATCCGCGTAGGGGTGGGCGTCCTCGCGGTATACTCAGCCCGCGTGCGACTGGTGGTGGTCGCACGGCAGCGGAGCGCTGTACGGGACGTACACCCTGACACATGATTATTATAGGATGAGATCGTATTTGACAGTTCGCCTGCACCAGGACAGGATCGAGGAGTACCAGCAGATAAATAAATCAGTAAAAACGTGGTCTGCTCCTAACCAACGTATGTCACAGTTCTGTCGGCTGCCTGAGCGTCTAACGCGTCACGCTCTATTCGCTCCTCAAGAACCTGGTCGGAGGCGACCGTGTGCTGGTCAGCCTTCTACTTGGCGGCAGCACATGAAATCGCTGACGTCGTGTCTAGCCGCTGTTGGATCCGTACCTCTTCCAGGATGAGGACCCAAAGATGAGAAGTGCCAATGGCTTACCACTCTTGAAGACATGACTCGCAACCGGAATGAGTGGAAGAATTCTGTACAGTATTGTATTGATTCAAATGTTTAATACTTCAAACATTGAAATGACAAAAAAGAACGAAAACGGCGTGTGAAAAACAAACTAAAAATGTTTTGTCCTACATTTTGTCAAAATGTTCCTTCCTTTGGCATAATAACTGAAGTGTGTTGCTCACCTTCAACTACTATGCCACGATGATTATGACGCAATGACTGTCTCTTATCCGTTGATCTCCATGGTTTTCTATTGGCTCTGTGTCTAGTTCCTAGACTGCTCAGATCATACGGATTATACGGCTGCCTTAGGTGACTTTATCGAGTGCACGCTTAGCCTCTCCTCCAACCAGGATCACATTTACTTGGAGTAACGTAACTTTTTTTTGCAGCAAAACACCTGACTGCTCTTCCTCCGGAACGGTACCCATCCGTTATTGGTAACTCAGCAGGCGCGTCTCTGTTGCATTTTTTACTTTATTTTGTGTTGTGGCACAATACCTGAGGTGTTTTACACCTCTAGCTAACGTGTATACTGATAATGATGATGTTCTCGCTTAATCATGCTATCGAATATGACTCCGTGTCGTCCACTTATCTTGCGATTTTACCTTGTCGCACAACAAACAAACGACTCTCAGAGCTACTCCGAGTGTCCTAATTCGCACTCCAATGGAGTTATCATTGAAATACCATCACATACGAAGTAAACATATTCGCCTAACAATATCTACGGTCATTGAAACGGGACACTTAGTTCTGATTGTTCCACAGGATCCATCGGGCTTCTTTAGTCGGTGTCAGTGTAGGAACTTCTCATAAAACGTGACCCCTTAGATTGCGTGACAGGTATCTAACGAATTTCTCGTGATTACCTTTTAATCTACGCGTACTTGAGTTGTTCATACGGTGGAACGTTCACATTCTCTGTCTCACAGGCACTGCGTCGTTCGCCTGGTGTTGCTCTTTGCAAGACCACAGTTGTCTTAAGTTTGGCGCTTTTATCATTGAATGCTTGAGGGCGAAATTCAGTTTTCGTCAACTGTCGATGGCCATTCTATACCATTGACATTTCAACTTTCATTCTCCGAGGCGGTTATGTGAACGACTTTGTTGACGTCATACCCTACGGGATAACTAGAGCTTACCTTGAATTTCGTCGCGTCGTCTGGTACACGCTCTTCTATTCCAGTATTCGCGGCGCGCTTCGCAAGTTAGGGCTTTCTACAACACCCATCGTTAGAACCGATAAGTTGTGGCGGATTTGTATGATTCTAAAGTTCCACTTTTCCTCGACTTCTGTTCCTTTTGGATGCTGATTTTGGTACTGCTAACCCGTGTGGGGGTCTGGAGTCCTAACCGTAACCTCGGTATCGTAGTGTTTGCCATTAAAAGCCCACACGAAAACAACTCATCTCACCCAGCCAGTTTTTATACGAAACGGAGTTATCCTTCTTTCCTTGCTGAACTATGTTGGCCGCATTGTGAATGAGGTCGTTTGCGAGGTATGCCGCAGGCCCAGTTAAACTGTCGACACACACATCGATAACTGAGCGTAACATGCATTACCTTTTTCGTGAGTTATCATCATCAGTGCATTCGCAGGGCTTTCACATTCAGCTGCAAAGTATTTGTTCAGTGGTGGCCGGTGTGATTTATCCAAATTCATCGATTCTATGATGGATAAAACAAAATTCCACTATGCTTCTCACCATTCACAGCGACGAGCCACGAAGCACGTCGAAGGGTGGTCACTTCTTCCTTAGCAACTTAGGCTGAGGACCATAAAATTATACAGCAGGCCAGTATTGGCGCCTACGTGGCGACCTTATTATTATGACGGTATCATATTTCGAGGAACTCCAATCACGTCTGCCGCCACGTACTACACTCAGTCACAACACGAATTTGAAGGGCCACAACCAGTTCAAATTGGCTAAAAGGTCGGTGAAACTTTTACTCTCTTCGTGTGTGCAAGACATGGAATACCCTCCTCAAAATTACGTTTGTTTCCGCTCCTGTGTTAAAAAAACACCTTGACATTTGTCCTACCTTACGAGATATAGCCTGCGTCTCGACAGACGATATAATGTGACGGAAGTTGCACAACCAGAATAAACCTACATAATTGAAATTGGCTCTTTTCTGCATGCCTCTGTGCGAACACTGTGGTGACTTCACCGGAACGATTTTCATTTTATCCCTTTGTTTTTTACTCGGCATATTGTGCATCTCATTCTGGCCATCCTAGTGATTTGGGTAAGCATTTGCTTTTTCACCCGGAATATACCACTGTACCATCCCATTCTTGTCACCTTTTGACACCTATGTCACCACCAAATTCTCCATCATTGTGACAGATTTTGCCCCTGATTCAAACACCAATTGCTCCCGACCGAAACGACACCCATCGCAACCGCCGGCACCTTCAACAACACCAGCACAGCTGCCCACTCCCAGTAAACCGGCGGTTGCCTCCATCTCCGAAGACAGTTCCGCTGAGGATAGTAATCATATGTCACCGGAATTGTATGCGGTCGTAGAGAAGAGCAATACGATACGCCCTCAGTGCGTTGGAGTATCAGGACAAGGAAACTGTGATCTCATATCTCCAAAAAGCCCTTCAAATGCTTTCCACATCGTAAATGTGCATTCTGCAATAATAAAACCAATACGCATTGCAATTCGGATGAACGTAGGTGCCAATGTGATTACATCAACCTGCTTTGCAGAAAGTTAAGCTCAGTTTGGTTATTTGTTCACTTTTTTGAAATTACATTTTATGCTCCCACAACCGAGAACCATTAGAGCTAACCGCGGGTGAATTCCATCATTTCTCTTATCGTTATACACCGATAGTGTCACAGAATGCCCGTCTGTAATTTTGACTTTTCAGCCTGTTTATCTGAAGGCGAGATCTATCCTTTGTATTCTGTCGATTAATTTGACGTCAAACTGTGTGTATCTATCCTCGCATCTTTTATCTTGTCGCTTCGTACGAATACATGCGTGTTCTTGAAGCTCAAATTTACGCTCCTGTTTTACCGTGCAAAAACCGCACAGGTCCCACTGACACCCTGAAGGATTTTTGTGGACTTGAGCGAGCTCCTTCGTTTAAATTGGAAGACCAACCATCCAACTAACTCGTGTTTTGATGCCTTGTGTCATTGATCATTACGTGTGGTAGGTAGATCATTGTTATAGTTACCACGATTCGTGCTGCCTGAGTACCTCTGGACCATTCATCATTCATTAAGCACGTTAACTGGAGGTGAGAAACACCCCAACTATTGTGCTGCAATATATCGCAGTGGGTATTAGAAAAAATACAAATAATAAATAGTACGGAATGGAAACAAGTAATATGCGTTTTGATTATTGTGCATAGACGGTGGGATCGGGATTGGGGAGGAAGACGAAGTGCGTTGAGGAAGGAAAGAAAGAGCTCACTGCACCAAAGCCACTGAAGTCGCTTTGTCGCCGTAACAACAAGTGTCTCCAACCAAACGTGCTCGTTGTCTTCCGGATCCCATTCCGGGAGTTGGGAGGCCCTAATCGAAACCACGTACGAACTGAGAGCCTTCATTCCGTTTGACCAAGTCATAGATTGGCATCTCCTCCTCTTCTTTCATCCAGATCCCGGATGTGGCGATTGTTAAGGGTCCAGAATAGCAGTATCCCTCCACGGATTTACGCGATAACTCAGAGTGATGTCTTTGAAAGGGTTCGTTGTGGCCAGAAAACCGTTTCATCATATTGGAACTCGTCGACAGTTTATAGCCACAAAGTACTGCTTAAATGAAGCCAATGACTCTTATGGGTCAGCCATTGAGCAATGGGTGGCGATGCAGGATCGCCGTGGCTATTTACTAGCTACGGTATAGCGCGGATACTCCTGTTGGCTTCCGCACTATCTCAGACTGAGCGTACATTCCACCGTTTACCTCAAACAGGTTAGATTGGGGAAACCAAGCGTAAATATACTGGTGAATGGGTCGTATCCTGCTACCCGGGGAGTTCAATCTTTGAATCTAACATTGTCCTGATGAATGTGCGTCTCGGCTTCCACCATTCCCCTGGAAGCAGTAATCACCGTGGTTATATCGGCCGCGTAGAAGCATCTTGCCAGACTCCGCGTCGAACAGAATTACACCTAGCAGCTCTCATTAGAATGTAGCCTAACTGAAGCGACGAGTTGCAATGTGAATCTTGTCGATCCAAGCTTCAGAAGTCCAAGCCAGAGGATATATATGTATATTTGTAAGTAGTAGAAGGATTTATTAAGTTTTGTGTAGATTCGTCGCAGTTAGACGCAGGCAGACAGCCATCACACAAATAATCAGTAGCCGCCTTAGTAGCTTACGTGCCACCTCGATTGGTGGCGGCTTGCAAAGGAAGTCGTTGCTCTGGTGGCCAGCCCTGTCCTCTGCACATTCCTAACATGCAAGACAGTGGAGGATGAGTCGCGCTATATCGCAGTTAGATATCAGTCATGGCGGTCCGCTGCCGTCGCCCATGGCTCAGTGACACAAGTGATATATATATATATATATATATATATATATATATATATATTTATATATATATATATATCGTATATATATATATATATATATATATATATATATATATAAATGTTTGGCGGCACTCCGGTTTCGGATTTGCCTGTCACTGTGGCAAGCCACAGGACGCCTGCGCCTACAGAGGGACCATGGATGGCTTGCGCTGCACCACCCACAGTCTCCAACCACACACCCCATATCCAGTGTAAACTCGAAGGAATAAGACCGGGAGGCATGCGGATGGGAACCACGTTTCATCAACGGAGCCGGCCCACACCTCCTTCACAGGGGCTAACACAAGACACACTGTAATTGGGGTATCAAGTGCGCACACAAGGGGCGTGGCTGGACCGTAGCCCGCTCCTACACTGAGCTACATGGACACATCGTTGAGCCTAACACAAGCCACACGGCCGTTGCACCCCGTCCCTCTCCCAGCAACGACCAACTGTCTACCCTGGAGCCTAGAAGGACGAGGGTAAGCGGGTAATAGACAGGTAGGCTACCTTGTTAACTATGCACTATCGAAGCGCTAGTCCACACCGGGGATATTCAAACATCAGCCAATCACTAGAGAGAGAGGGGAGAGAGGAGACAAAGAAATAACTCGATTAATGCATAAGGAAACGGTGACATAAACCTTAAATTAATGAGCATATGAAATAAGTTGTTTACAAACGAATCCTAGATAAGTTCACGAGGTCAGAAAGTATACTTTACGGAAATGCCACGAACACAAAAATGTTATGGAAATCGAATACAATTGGCTTAAGCGAGGTGTGCAAGTTAATGGAATAGAGTACAGGTAGACATTTATATGAGAAAGAAAAGCATTAAGGCAAAATTGAAAACCCACCACCTGAAATAAAGAGACTTAGCATGCAAGCACGCGGTTAGTAAATCGAATGCAGCGTACCTACAAACGCTGCGCCGGTTCTGCCTACCTTCTCTGCAGGACCCGTCGTCACTTCGGTGTTGGCCCAGAGTGGCTTCGCTCATGGTTGACTAGACATTTTTATATATATATGGAATACAGGTAACAGTAAAATTGGCAGGGTGCCACAGCGTGTGGACAAACATACAACGATACAACAATAAGGAAATAGGGGGAAAGTGCAAAACTGGAGTCTCACAACATGTTCGCCACTGCTCACGGTTTCTTGACATGTCCGATAGGGTTTCCAGCCAAGTGTGTTCATGGTGCTTGGTCTCCCAACAAGGGAATCGAGAGCGCCCGAAGTTAACGCCTTTATACTTTGGCCAGTCATTTGTTGACCAACTTGTCTTCGTTTTCGGCCGACTTCAGTGCGCGCAAAGAGTGCACGGTGAGGCAAACGCTCAGTAGCCATGTGAAGCACGTGCCCAAACCACCGAAGCCTATGCAGTGAAATTATACAGCTCAGCGGCCGGCAAAGTCTGTCCGATTTGAAAATCCTTCGGCGAACACCCTCATTACTAATGTGGTGTTACCACCGCACACCAGCAATGCTCCGAAGGTAGCGGTGATCAAAGACAGACAGCCTCTGAACATCACTTGCTCAAACAGGCCAAGTCTCGCAACCGTAGAGCAGGACCGCTCTCACCGTGGCATTGTACACTCGGCCCTTCAAGGATAGATTCGTGTTGCGTCGACCGCAGAGATGGCGGCGATTAGCAAACGCAACACGGTCCTTAGAGATGCACAAGAAGACCTCATCCGTTAAACCGTTAGCTCTGATGCAGTTTTCGTGTCAAACGACATTGTCTACCAATTCCAGATACTGATTCTAGCCACACCTGTACGAAGACCTTACATTTCGAAGAGGCGAAGCTCATTCCAAACTGGTAAGCAGACACCACCAACATACACAGTACATTTTGGGCGGCCTGTGGGGAATCGCAAGTTACGGCGATGTCATCTACATACTCCAAATCACGAAGTCCGTCCCGCGGAAACACCTCAACGCCGCTAGATTCGCAATGCTCCAGAACGCTCTCCAGGATGTTATCAATAGCGAAATTGAACAGGAAGGGTGATGCAGAGCAGCTCTGTCTCACGTCACTGGTGATACTAAAGGGGGGCGGAAGTTCGCCGTACACCCGCACCCGGCCCGAGGTTCGAGAGTAGATGGCTAGAAGGACGTTGACGTACTTCTCCGACACTCTGCTTCTCAAGTGACAGCTCCAAAGAGCAGCTCGGTCAACTGAGTCAAACGCGGATCGTATGTCTAAGAAGACAACGATCGTTGGCCGGTCGAACGTTTGACGACGCTCGAGTATTTGGCGGAGTATAAAGATGTGCTCGATACAACTCCGGCCGGAGCGGAACCCAGCTTGCTCTTCGCGTATGTTTTGTCAGCTTACCTGGCTGAGCCTCCTTAAAAGCAGCGCGGCAAGCACTTTAGATGCAACCCATATGAGAGTAATCCCTCTGTGGTTGGTGCAGTCCGTCCGGGTACACTATTTGAAGACGGGAACGATATCCGCGAGATTCCAGTCGGACGGGATTACTTCCGTGGTCCAAATCTTTTGGAGCATGAAAGTTAGCTCCCGAATAATTGATATACTTCCATCTTTGAATAGAGCCGGAAGGAGTTCTTCTGGGCCAGGGGCTTTATAGCGCTTTAGGAGGCGAAATTCATAAACAACCTCGGCCTCAGAAGGTGTTGAAGTGTCTACACACCATGGAGCACCATGGATTCCCGAATGAGGGATCACCGGGGCTGCAGGCCAGTTAAACTGCTGCTCAAAGTGCTCAGCTCTAGGCACAAGTCGACGTTGTTAGCGGTGGGGTCGCTTGTCATTGGTTTCGCACAAAATTTCGCTTACAGTCGGCTTTTTGCCGCCAGCTGATCGGAGCAGGTGGAAAAACTTTGAAAGGTGTTAAGTTTGAGAGACACCTGATACGATTATCACTTAAACGGTTTGAGTACGTCTACCATGACGGCTTGGAACGCTGGCCGATCGAACTGATTTGCGCTGATGTGATGGCGTTAGCTTAGCCCGGGGTACGCGCTGGTGAGGCAGAATATCAGTTAGCGTGAGAACGTTCCTAGCCACACGTATTCGGGTAGACGCTGAGTCCTCGTAACGGACGAGGCTACGCACACGAGAGGGAGTTACGGTAAATGCGCGCTAGTGGCTTAGACGCGAACGCTGCCCGCCTAACAACGCACATAAAAATCACGTGACCGAACCGACTCCCAACTACGGCGAAGAGAAAGCAGGACAAGTGGTCCTCTGAAAGCTCTTTTACGACCAACAAAGGGCGAATCACAGCCAATACTATGGGTCATTAAGTTAGTGAAAATAGCTACCGCAACGGGGTGGTAGTTTGTAAAAGAACATTGTCAACATGTGCGCAGTTGTGCCGCGTCTCGGAGTGGCTGAAATCTGCTGCGTTGGATGGAGGAACTAAACTCCGCTTTCCACAGACATTACGCCGGAGTTTGTGGCGCGTTTTTGCGGGGATATTGACGGGCCAGCACCAAAAATTTTCTGAGCTGGCTGCGTGCTCCATATCAACGACCCGTTACGTCCACCAGATCTCGCGATCCTCCCGAAGGAACTGTTTGAGTTCAGCGTTAGTGATCCTGCATAGTGAATGGTACTCAGCACCAGTTGGAATTGCCGGACGAGCTTCTGGAAGTTGGGGATGGTGCAGAGAGGAACGAACCTCCGAGATGTTTGCTT